GCTCTAATCTGCTAAACGTGACCCCCGCTGACCCCTCACTGTTAAACCCCGCCCTCCCTCCCTCGCCGGTTCAGAGGGTCACGCACTCATCGCAGTGATGAGCTAGGAGGCGTTGGCCGTCCTGTGGGGGGTTCAGGGGGGGGTCACCCGGTGACCTAACAGCCTAAACGTGGTCCCAATGAGACGGCTGAAGATGTTGCGATACAGAAGTGAGTCACTAGTGGAACATTTTGACTAAAAGAAACAACATTCGTCTTAAAGCAGAGAATCAGGACCCGGAATGAATGAATGAATCAGAACGAGTGGGATCCATCAGGAAAGCAGCTACAGCGCCATCTCGGCTCAGAGGGGTACACTCATATGTGTGGATACATACAAATACATACATATATATGGCCTTGGTGTGTCTCCTGGAATCAAACAGCAGCCAAAAGCATATTTGCACCGAGTTAAAGTCTAACGGGAGTCTCCAGTCTCCATATTCACATATTTACATGACTTCCTATAATGACTTTCTGTGCACTTCGTCTATCAATGTTTGATGTAAAGCACTTTTAAATGCTGTGGTGCTGAAATGTTCTGTATGAATAACTATGACAGATGTACTGTGTGTCCCGGGGGGGGGGGGGGGGGTCTCTCTGAACTGCACCGTCTTCAGAGAAAAGTGTTTTGACTGATTTTTGAGTTTTATCCCCCAAATGACTCTTTTCTGCAGGAAGTGAGACACTTGCTGTGAGGTGGTCTTCAGTAATGATTAATCGTTGGACAGGTGGCATCACATATTGATTTTCTACAGAATGTGATCACCTTGCCTTGTCCTTCAAAGTGAAAAGTGAGGCGTTTAACAGCACGTTTGTCCTTCCATGAGTGTTCCTGAAGACTGAAAGTCCTCACAATGACAGAGGTAAGAGGACATGTACAGTTGCATAAAGTCCCGTATCAAACCCTTTGCATGAAGGTCAAATAAATGCTTCAATCACAACATTTCACTAATTATCATGCGCCTGTTTTGAGCCAGCGATGCAAATATAAGGGCGATATAATTGATTTATTTTTTAAGTAACAACACTGAAATAAAGAAGGAATGTTTGTTTGACGGCACGGTGTCGTGGTGGTTAGCACTGTTGCCTCACAGCAAGAAGGTCCTGGGTTCGATTCCGCCCAGTGGCCTTTCTGTGTGGAGTCTGCATGTTCTCCCCGTGTCTGCGTGGGTTCTCTCCGGGTTCTCCGGCTTCCTCCCACAGTCCAAAGACATGCTCCGGGGATCAGGTTAATTGGGGACTTTAAATTGCCCGTAGATGTGTGAATGTGAGTGTGAATGGTTGTATGTCTCTGTGTAGCCCTGCGATTGGCTGGCGACCAGTCCAGGGTGTACCCTGTCTATCGCCCGAAGTTGGCTGGGATGGACTCCAGCCCCCCCGCGACCCTGTGTGCAGGATAAGCGGTTTGACAATGGATGGATGGATGGATGTTTGTTTGAAACTCACTTCCTGGTGTATTTTTAAGGTCATAGCTGCATGACTTTAACAGCGGACGTTCTTAAAGCGTCCCAAGTTGTCCCTTTGTCAGTAAGGACACCAGTGAGCTGGTTACATGTTGCACAGCGCCCCCCTGTGGTTAAACCGCCAGAGGGTAAGAACATGGACAATGCAGAAGAAAGCAGCCATAGAAGTATAAATGACTCAAGTGTCTACCTACTAGTATTTACCACCCTGAGATCGCTTTGAACCCCCCAGGAGCTTCAACTCTTCTTACTCTGTGGACATTTCTCCAGTGGCTGCAGTGAAGTGTCTTCACAGGATCTCTGGATTCTAGATGAAGGTTTGTTGGTTCTCGATGTGAGTTGGTGCAGATGGATGGTCACTGGTGTGAAGGGACAGGTGTCCCCGGGGAGACATTTACCGGGAGATTTTTATTGGACTAAAAAAACAACACCTGACGTAAGAGGATCTGATCCAGACTGTAGAACCAGAGAGGCTGGGGGGGGTAAAAGTTCCCGAATGAAAGAGGCACTTCCACTAAATGTTCCATAAAACACGGAGAACGAAGTGATGTCACAAAGAGATAAATGTAGAGGTGTGATCGATGGGGACCACGAGGCGTTTCCTCTCTTACTAATAGAACTAATAAGCATCGTCTGTTGTAGTGGCGGCCGCCGGCTGGTGGATTTTATTTTGGTAGGACCAGCCAATCGGCTTCAGTAAACATCCCTCTGTGATTCAATGCAAAAAATGGTGTCAAACACGCATTATCACTTTACAGTTAAATATTTAACATGTATTCCAACAGTTTAACATAACAAGGACATCTTATTCAAACAATTCAGTAGATCAATGAATATTTATATAACTATAACTATGTATATACACTCACCTAAAGGATTATTAGGAACACCTGTTCAATTAATGCAATTATCTAATCAACCAATCACATGGCAGTTGCTTCATTGCATGTAGGGGTGTGGTCCTGGTCAAGACCATCTCCTGAACTCCAAATTGAATGTCAGAATGGGAGAGAAAGGTGATTTAAGCAATTTTGAGCGTGGCGTGGTTGTTGGTGCCAGACGGGCCGGTCTGAGTGTTTCACAATCTGCTCACTTACTGGGATTTTCACGCACAACCATTTCTGGGGTTTACAAAGAATGGTGTGAAACCACCGGGTACCACTCATCTCCACTACAAATAGGAAAAAGAGGCTACAATTTGCAAGAGCTCACCAAAGTTGGACAGTTGAAGGCTGGAAAAATGTTGCCTGGTCTGATGAGTCTCGATTTCTGTGGAGACATTCAGATGCCAGAGTCAGAACTTGGCGTAAACAGAATGAGAACATGGATCCATCGTGCCTTGTTACCACTGTGCAGGCTGGTGGTGGTGGTGGTGGTGGTGGTGGTGTAATGGTGTGGGGGATGTTTTCTTGGCACACTTTAGGCCCCTTAGTGCCAATTGGGCATCGTTTAAATGCCACGGCCTACCTGAGCGTTGTTTCTGACCATGTCCATGTCCACCATGTACCCATCCTCTGATGGCTACTTCCAGCAGGATAATGCACCGTGTCACAAAGCTCCAATCATTTCAAATTGGTTTCTTGAACATGACAATGAGTCCACTGTACTAAGATGGCCCCCACAGTCACCAGATCTCAACCCAATAGAGCATCTTTGGGATGTGGAACGGGAGCTTCGTGCCCTGGATGCGCATCCCACAAATCTCCATCAACTGCAAGATGCTGTCCTATCAATATGGGCCAACATGTCTAAGGAATGCTTCCAGCACCTTGTTGAATCAATGCCACGTAAGGCAGTTCTGAAGGCGAAAGGGGAACAAAAACAGTATTAGTAGGGTGTTCCTAATAATCCTTTAGGTGAGTGTATATTGTGATGTCCCGAGAGGTCTGGTCCTCAATGGGAGGTACATTCCCACCCGGGGAACTACAACTCCCAGAGTCAGCAAGGCAGCGGGTCCCAGCTGAAGGGACGACAGCTGGGGGTTCGGAAGAAGAGAAAAGGAGAGGAGTTGAGAGAAGAAGGAATGATGGTTGGCGTCCTGTTACCGAAGAGATTTATGTTGATAAATAATGTTTTTTGTCAGATGTAAGTTTTACGTTTGTTATGAATACAGGACTTTAAGTTTCGAATCATTGGTTGTCGTCTTTATTTTGGGCACCCACTTACCCACTCACGACCCCAGCCTTCTGAGATATCACAATATATATAAAACAACATTCAGAATATGATATAACTACCATATTGTAACTATTATAAATATCCAATATAAATATCATATCATAAATATATGATATTAAAGGATAAATATACTACAATATAAACATATTTATATAAAATCTCTGTATACGTTTATATATATTGAGATGCACTTCTGAACGTTAGTTTGTTGGGGAAAAACACGGTCAGTGTGTTGAGGAAAGACCAACTCAAAAGCCCCACAAAACTTCACACAATGAACTATTTTGGATAAAATGTGTCAGTGGCTGCTGGTCCATTGAGGGCAACGGGGCGTCGAACCACCTTCCCACCTTGAGCCAGAAAAAAGGAACCAAAGTGAAGCCGGGCCTCGACCCAGCGATCCGTTTGTCTCCTGTTGTTAAGTTGAAGCAGTTTTTTCTTAATATTCATCAACAACTAAGGATTCAGTTGCAGCACTTTGATTTTGGTTTGCGTTGATGAATGAATATTTACAGCCTCTGTGATTGTTGCAAGATTTACTGTCTGTAAACCTTTTTGGACGAGGTGCGACAAACGAATAAAAGCTGGCAGGATTTAAAAATGAGAACATTGTATTGTAACAATGTATTCTCACGATGGCATTTTCATTAATTGGTTGCACAAAGTATAACAAATATGTTCCATCTTTTGTGATTTCATATACAGATCAGATGCAGATACAAAGATCAAGAGTCAATATCAAATGTTTAGTGACAAAAAAAATACATATTGAAAGCTGCGAAGCTTGCCACTAAATAGTGTGCGTTAAGCAACAATATGCGAAACATGCAAATATTCAAAAGGGGAAAATTAGCGCAGATTATTGTCTTAAACTCATAAAGTCTACTTAAACACGTATAAACAAAGATAAATTCAAAACACAAATAGTCTCTGTTCATACTCTTAACAAACACTTCCTACAGATATATTTGTCTTTCTTTGGGAGCAGCTGACAGACCTTTTTATAATATACAATATATAAAGATTAAGATTAAACCCTAATTAGGACCCGATATCTAAATGATGATCTATTGATTCATCCACAGAGGCAACGAGCACAACAACATTAAAACACACCTCGCTGAGCTCCTTCACACCATCTGCAACACCACAAGTCCCAGAGAGCTGTGGACCCCCCAGAGTCCAGACCAGCTCAGGTACCCCTCACCTGCTCCACCTGCATCTACACCCACATGAACCACCATCAGCTGTTTGACGTCCTGTACAGACTGAACTATGTGGTGACCAGAGAGGAAGGTTCTCCACCAGGAGGAGACTCTCGGTCCTCCAGAGAACACAGAGACACTGAGGACACAGAACTGGACCAGAACCCAAACCCAGGATAAAGAGGTTCAGTGAATGTGGTGCTGAAGGTGTGGAGGTGGATCAGTGTGTCAGAGGAGACTCTGTAGAAGGACAGAGAGCCAGCAGGACAGTCCACATACACTGCTACTCTACCAGAGGAGGGGGAGGAGGAGGAGGAGGAGGAGGAGGTGGAGGAGGAGGGCATGCGTGTTACTGTATTATTGTGACAAACATAGTAACCTTTATCGGAGCATCCCAGACTCCAGGACTGATCATTCATTCCAAACAAACAGTCATCACTGTTTCCATTCCTCCTGATTCCTCTGTAACTCAATGATACATGAACTTCTCCTCTCCACTCGACCTCCCAGTAACAGCGACCAGTGAAACCAGTTCCACACAGCAGCTGAGGCCAGTAGTCAAATCTGTCTAGATGATCAGGATATGACTGATCCTCCTTCACACGTGTCACCTTCCTGTTGTTGTCAGACAGTTTGAGTTCTCTGTGTACTGTGTTTGTGTCGATTGTGAGTTCACAGGAATCTGATGAGAGAACAAGACACAATACAGCTGCAGTTATTAATCATGTGATCATCTATTGACACTTTGATGATGACATCACAGAGGTGAATGAGTGATGTCACAGTGTGAAGGTGGTTGAATCTTCATGAATCAAACTCAAAGCACACTTACACTTCCTCAGACCTGGTCTGAACCATCGGACTCCAGCAGGCTCCACCCTGAAAGGAGGAGGGGGGGTCAGAGCAGCATGGAGACATGGACATTACATCACTCTCATACACAGCTTTGTCCTTCATGTTCACATGGACCACCTCTTCTTCTACTGCAGTGGAGCTTCTTGATGACCACAGTTCATGATGTTCATTATTCATCATCTGTTATTATCAGTATTACACTGACCATCATCTTCCATTTCACACTCAGTTCCCTTCAGCAGTCAGTCAGTAAATCAAATTTTTAGTGGCTTGTGGCTCAGTGAAAACAAGCTGTAAACACAACATGTGACATGTGACCATCTTAAAAAGTAGTTTTGTCTAACATGAGATCAACCAACTGCATCCAAATCCAGTAGGTACACATCAACATGCTTGTTCATCAGGAGTCTTTGTGTCACCTGATGGATGGAAGTCCAGTATTCTCTCTTTTTTAGCTCTGTTTTTGGTCTCCACCACCTCCCGAGGGGAATATCTGTGTCTTTAGCTGCTGCTGAACCACACAGGAAATGAGCTGCACAAAGGTTCTGACTGTGACACAGCTGTTCACATCCCGTCTCCTAGCAACACTCAACACTGGTTTCTATCCGCTGGAGGTGAAGATGTTACAGCTCAGGTGGGTCTGCAGCCACAGAGCACTGCCTGAGTCCCCCTAGAACTTTGGTCCAGTCAGTCAACTCTTACCCAAAACCGGGTAAAGCTGAACTTCTTTAAAACACCGAACATTCCTACTCTCACGATCAATCGAAGACGCTTTGAACAGTTTCTTTAACAGTTTTAATAATAATGTCTGGACTAAAGGACAACACACACTGGAATAACATGAATCTAAATATCCAATTGTTGTTTGATAAGAGCCCACAAACCTGCAGCGTGACGATGATGCCGTCAACGTGTCAGGAGACACCACTGTCCTCTCTTATAACGTGGAAACAAGACAAGGCTCCAGAGAAACAAGCCTTTCATCACCTTCCTCCCGGTTTAGGCTCATCCTGGCTACTGTTCCTCACTACTTCTGTCTGTATTGATGGTCTCATGTGGGACACAAACAGATGTGTCTCTGGTAGTTTGAGGTCAGCTTGGTGTGTCAGGGTCATATTAACCAGGCTGACAGTGGGACAGAGAAAAGGTTTCCAGCTCTGCCTCCTCTACCAGACTGATGGTCTGTGGCTGCAGCCTCTTCATACCTGAGAGTCTCCAGTCTCCAGTTGGGATCCTCTTGTCCATCAGACAGCAGCTTCACTCCTGAGTCTCCTGGATGATTGTAGCTCAGGTCCAGCTCTCTCAGGTGGGAGGGGTTGGACCTCAGAGCCGAGGCCAGAAAAGCACAGCCTTCCTCTGTGATCAGACAACCTGACAGCCTGCAGACACAGAAAAACAACACACAGGTCTCATAATGTGAGGGAGCTGGAAGGTCACTGCAGTACTGAGATACTGTCGGCTACAGAGGGGTCATATTACTAATGTTGCACCAAATGGACATTTACTTAATCTAACCTGAGAGTCTCCAGGTCACAGTGTGGACCCTTCAGTCCAGCAGACAGCATCTTCACTCCTCTATCCTGCAGATTGTTGTTACTCAGATCCAGCTCTCTCAGACTAGAGGACTTGGAGCTGAGAACTGAAGACAGAGCTTCACAGCTTCTCTCTGAGAGGTTACAGCCACTCAGTCTGAAGAAACAACAATGAAGAACATCTGAATAATGACTAGAAAAGATGGCAGACTATTTATGTTCTGATTTATGAATGTAACTCTCTCTGTACTTACAGAGCTTTGTTGGAGGCTTTGACCACTGGCAGCAGCCTCAGAAGAGCCTCCTCTGAAGCAGAGTATTTCTCCAGGTCAAACACCTCCAAATCTTTTTCTGATGACAGTAAGATGAAGACCAGAGCTGACCACTGAGCAGGAGACAGTTCATCTGTGGAGAGACGTCCTGATCTAAGGGACTGTTGGATCGCCTCCACTAGAGAACCATCATTCAGTTCATTCAGACAGTGGAACAGATTGATGCTTTTCTCTGGAGACACATTCTCACTGATCTTCTCCTTGATGTACTGAACTGTTCTCTGATTGGTCTGTGAGTGACTTCCTGTCTGTGTAAGTAGACCTCGTAGGAGAGTCTGATTGGTCTCCAGGGAAAGACCCAGTAGGAAGCGGAGAATCAGGTCCAGGTGTCCATTAGGACTCAGTAAGGCCTTGTCCACAGCACTCTGGTAGAGACACATCGGTTTAGGTTTGTCTCCAAAGATTTCAGACCACGGGGAGGTTGTTTGTTCTTCTGACAGCAGATTGACACCAGAGTTGAAGAAGGTCAGATGGACATGAAGAGCAGCCAGAAACTCTTGAACACTCAGATGGACGAAGCAGAACACCTTGTCCTGGTACAGTCCTCTCTCCTCTCTAAAGATCTGAGTGAACACTCCTGAGTACACTGAGGCTGCTTTGACATCGATGCCACACTCTGTCAGGTCGGATTCATAGAAGATCAGGTGTCCTTTCTGCAGCTGATCAAAGGCCAGTTTTCCCAGAGACTCGATCGTCTTCCTGCTCTCTTGACTCCAGTGTGGATCCGTCTCAGCTCCTCCATCGTACTTGACCTTCTTCACTTTGGACTGAACCACCAGGAAGTGGATGTACATCTCAGTCAGGGTCTTGGGCAGCTCCCCTCCCTCTCTGGTCTTCAACACCTCCTCCAGAACTGTAGCAGTGATCCAACAGAAGACTGGCATGTGGCACATGATGTGGAGGCTTCGTGAGATCTTGATGTGAGAGATGATCCGGCTGGCCTGCTTCTCATCTCTGAACCTCTTCCTGAAGTACTTCTCCTTCTGGGGGTCGGTGAACCCTCTGACCTCTGTCACCATGCCAACACACTCAGGAGGGATCTGATTGGCTGCTGCAGGTCGTGTGGTTATCCAGAGGCGAGCAGAGGGAAGCAGCTTCCCCCTGATGAGGTTTGTGAGGAGCACATCCACTGAGGCCGACTCTGTGACATCAGTCAGGATCTCATTGTTGTGGAAGTCCAGAGGAAGTCGACACTCATCCAGACCGTCAAAGATGAACACAACCTGGAACTCTTCAAACCTGCAGATTCCTGCTGCTTTGGTTTCACTGAAGAAGTGATGAACAAGTCCCACCAAGCTGAACTTCTTCTCTCTCAGCACATTCAGCTCTCTGAAGGTGAATGGAAATGTGAACTGTATGTCCTGGTTGTGTTTGTCTTCAGCCCAGTCCAGAGTGAACTTCTGTGTTAAGACTGTTTTCCCAATGCCAGCCACTCCCTTAGTCATCACTGTTCGGATTGGTTCCTCTCCTCCAGCTGAGGCTTTGAAGAGATCTTCTAATCTGATGGTTGTTTCTGGTCTGGCTGGTTTCCTGGATGCTGTTTTAATCTGTCTGACCTCATGTTCTTTATTGACCTCTGCAGTCCCTCCCTCTGTGATGTAGAGCTCTGTGTAGATCTCATTCAGAAGGGTTGGGTTTCCTGCTTTAGCGATCCCCTCAAACACACACTGGAACTTCTTCTTCAGGTTGGATTTGAGTTCACGCTGACAAACTGCAGCAGCAAAAAGTCCTGAATGACAACAAAGAAGAACAATGAGTGAAAGAATATATTTCAACATGTCCTTTCCTCAAAGAATGACTCTGTGGTGTCTTGAGACATTAGTGAAGGTCTCATTTATCAGCATGGTAAGTCTTTAGATAAATCCACTTACTGCTCTGCACACGGTCAGCCAGCTCCTCCTGCTTCATTTTCCTCAGGAAGCGCACTGAAATTTTCACAAATGCCTCTCTGAACCTCCCTTGCTCTTCATCCAGCACCTCTTCATCCTCCCTCTGACTCTCTAAGCATTCTTGGTAATCTGAACTCACAACATTCTGGATCTTCTTCAGCTCGTTCTTCAAAAATGTGAGGATGTTCTCCTCCAGCAGCTGGAACAGAACATTCTATGAATGACACAAACTAAAACCATGGAAGCCACCATCAGGTCCATGTTGGACAGACTGACAATCCACTGGTCTACAAAGTGCAGCATGGAGATGATGGTGAACTGAGAGATGTAAAAGTAGTTGTACATGTACACACCATGAAGATGGAGTCCAGGTGTGTTTGATGCTGCTGGGCAGACGGACCTGTGGGAACCTCTGAGCTCTCCTGGTCCTCTCTGTGGAGGAACATGAACCATCAGCTCACATGGTGTTTGTACCATCAGCACCAATACAACAGTTAGTTAAAGATATTGGGTTATGAAACCACTTACATAAAGAAAATTAGTTCTGTTTGATTGTCATGGAAACAACAATCTAAACAATGGTCTTTGGACCTTTTCACAGAGTCTACTGACAATACTCCACACCTCCACGCCAACTGGTCCACAAAGCACTGAATTTATTCTAATCACATTTTCAGTCCCATCTTTCTCCAGAAACCTGCATCTATTTCAACATGTGACCTCTCCTGATCCTGATGTGGAAGAACTAGCTCACATTGTGTTTACATCAGAGAATGTTTAGTTTAGTTAGTATAGTTATTGTCACACTTAATACTTTAAAACCATGTTCGAAAATTGCATACCCACAATAAAAAGGGTCTTATCTCTGTAACTAATTTCTATCTGGATACACTTTGCTGTCAGGGTTAAGGGGAACCACTGTGGATGTGATCTAATGTGTAAATATCAGTTTATGTGTCACTGGTTAAGAAATAAATTAAATTAAATGAAAAGATCCCAAATTGCTTGAAAAAAACCTACATCTAAGTCATAGCCCAGTGTTTGGACAGTATTTATGGAAAGCTTTACTCTGATAGAGTGGTGGTAGAGTGAAGCAGAACACCATCTAGAGGCTTTAATACTGTTCTCACGAATTGTGGTGAAATCCTCGGATAAACTCTGAGATGTAAGATCTTAGTTCCGTTCTGCAAGTTCAACCTCTCTATCGAATTGAGCGTAAAATGACACAGAGAGCGAGGGATGACGCTCGTCTATGAAAACTCCCCACAGAAACCTTTATAGAAACTTGAACTATAAAAGAGACGCACCGGATGGCTGTTGGGTATATTTCAGTCTAAAAACACTGCATCAAATTCATATTTCCGTTTAAAACGCAGGGGTAAGTAACATTTATGATTGATATGATTCAGGTGGTTGATTTTCAATAAATTCGGCAAAGGTTTGTCTGAGAAAAATGCAATCAACGTGAAACAATCCTGCTGTTTCGTGTGCCAGTGTATTAGTTAGCTGCACGCTCCCACTGACAGATATATATATCTGGATTGCGTACGGTCAATTTGTTGCACTACTTTGCATATTTTCTAACTCTTTTAAGCATTTTTAAACAAATACATTTATGTTTTAGCAGACGTTTCTGTGGGTGTGAGGCATTGTTTTATTTGTTTATGATGAGTGTCTAATGATTCAGGCTCTTGTCATCGCCCGCCTGGACTACTGCAACTCTCTCCTGGCTGGTCTCCCTGCCACCGCCATTCGACCTCTGCAGCTCATTCAGAATGCAGCAGCTCGACTGGTCTTCAACCTTCCGAAATTCTCCCACACTACTCCACTCCTCCGCTCTCTTCACTGGCTACCGGTGGCCGCCCGCATCCAGTACAAAACATTGGTGCTCACGTACCATGCTGTGAATGGATCGGGTCCAGCTTACATCCAGGACATGGTCAAATGCGACATCCCAACCCGCACTCTCCGCTCTGCATCTGCAAAACTGCTCGTCCCTCCCTCACTGAGAGCAAAACACTCGACTAGATCTCGACTCTTTGCTGTCCTTGCGCCGAAATGGTGGAACGAGCTCTCTGAAGACACCAGGACCACAGAGAGCCTTCACATCTTCAGACTAAAGACACACCTCTTCAGACTCTACCTCGACTAAAGACTAACAAATTGTAGCATTTAAATTGTACTTGTAACGTCACTCATCTATAGCAAATTGTAAATTGGCTTATTTGAGGAAATTGCACTTTCTTGTTTCTTGTTCTTCTGAGTTTGTACCCTATGGTTGAATGCACTTATTGTACATCGCTTTGGATAAAAGCGTCAGCTAAATGACATGTAATGTAATGAAATGATATGTATGTGGCATAATTGAGTTTCAATAGAGTTAGTCCCCTCAGAGGGGGCTCTGGGGCTCCAACAGATATACACCAGTTAGATAAAGATAATGAGTTCTGTCACGGTTGATCATCATGGAAACATTTCTGTAATTCATACTGGCGATCAGAATCTGTTTCATCTGTTTAAGAACTTACTCTGGGTCATAAGAACAGCTTCCATCTTTGAAGTTAATCAGATGATCATTAGACCGATGACTCTTCATGGACACACATCTGGGTTCAGGAGACTTTCCTCTCTGCTGATGTGAACTGAAAGAAACACTGAGATTACATCATCACATCATAATTTAATCAGGAAGCATCAGCTCACATGGTGTCCGTCCTCACAGAGACCAAAACAAGCTAAAGGTCCATGAAGTGATGTCTGGATGTGGACCACATGACTCCCTGTAGTGGTTTACGTCTACTGGTCCTACTGGTCCCACTGAGAATCAACAGCTCAGTCTTTCAAGTCAATGTTTTCTTCACCAGTCAGTTTGGTTTAGTACCAACAGGTATCACCAAGTCCTCCATGGAGCTTTCCCTCCCTCACTGGACACTGCTGAAGGGCCCTGGAGCAAGAAACCCAGAACCTCCACCAGAGAGTCTGATAGAAACACCTCATCATCAGCCTGAGACCCTCACCTTGCATCTGCAGAGGGTCCCGTGTATCGTTTACGCTTCATGTTCACAGAGCTGGGTTCAGGTCCAGCTCCTGGTCTCTTACGGATCCTGGTCACACATGTAGAACCAGAGTCAGTGAATCAAAGACGTTGGGACATGGAGAAGAGTGGAGGACAGTTGGAGATGGTCCTCTCACCTCTGAGCTGTGGTCTGGCTGTCATGTTCGCCACACAGAGGGGCTTCAGAGGGAGGGACTCCGTCCTCTGGGTCCTCACCCTGATTCATAGCAGAGTCCACACCTTCACACCTTCACAACAACCTGCTGGGAGAGCTCACACATTATTTATCTTCATCAGGACAAACACACAGAGCTCATTCACCTCAATACTAAAACTCTCATGGGACACTTTCTGTGTTGTTGTCGTCTGTTAAAGTTTAGACTTCTGGAGGAAGACAAACTCTGTTAACATGTCAAGAGACGTCGTTTTAAATGCTCATCCTGTAAATGTAGTGTTTTACAGTATGAATATTATCAGTCATCTTCCAGCAGGTGGAGCTGTTCTCTTTCTCCTCTTGATCTCCTTCAGAGTCCAGAAGTCAGTAAAACACAGACCAGTAAGATGACATGTAGCTGTCCTGATAGGAAACACTGTGGTTACTATGGTAACATGGGAAAGCTTTCTCCTGATGGGATGGTTCACTTCACCATGTAATCAGTTAGTAAAAGGTCGACTACAACCAGGTGATCAATGAGAGAAGAACTGAACACTAAAGAAAACACAAACACATTCACACACTCTAAAAAGTGACTGAATGTGTTTAAAGCAGATGAAGAAATGAACATGAAGCTTTGCGGACTTAAAGGACTGAAGCAGCAGGTGAGACAAACAGAGCGTCTGTCAGGTGTGTTTCAGGAACAAAGGCACAGGTGAGCTCTGTGGTCCCTGCTGGGTCCTAGTGCCCCTCTCAGTTACCTTCCCCTCCTCGTCAATAACAGTCCTCACAGACCCCAGATCAGACTGAGCTCCTCTTCTTCATCAGTGTCATCATTCAGACTAACAGCAGCTTCTCTCTGCCTGCTCACACAGGCGCCATCTTGTTTCCCAGCTTTAAACAATCACACGTTCACAACCATCAATGATGTCATTCATCCAATCAGAAGCTCCACTTACTGAACTTACTATAGACATGAAGTTCCTCAGTGAGCAGCTCTCTTCTGTCCTCAGCAAGTCCGTGTAAAAAAGGAGCTCCGTGCTTCACTTCAGCTTCCATCAGACGGAGTGAAGTGACGCAGCTTGTTGTCCTTCATCAGAGAGGGTGTGTCCTCACGTCACCATCAAAGTATGCAGTCCGACTGGTTGACTGAGTCTCAGTCTGAGCTGTGCTCACAGGGTCAAAGGTCCTCGTGAACAGAATCCTCTTCACTGCTCAAACAAGAGTCTTTCAGGATCAAACCAGCACCTGGCCTATAATAATCCAGCAATCAGCAATCAGGAATCAGGAAACATTTATTGCCATAATATGTCAGACGTACAAGGAATTTGACTTGGCGGTTGGTGCGTAACAGCAGACAGTACGACAGTGCACGAGGAATAGAATAACATATAATGCTATGGGTTTGTAGTATAAGGCTATTGGTTAGTTTAAAATAAAGGAATAGGAGTTAAAGTTAAAAAGTTTAAAAAATTTAAATTAAAGTGCACTGGATTCTTTTGTTTGGACCGGATACTTTAGAGGATCCCTGCACGATCCTCTTTGTCACTTGGTCTTCTACATGTAGACTATAGGAACACGTCATGAAGCAGAAACCTTTGTAACAAATGCTGTATAGAGTTTATATTTACTAAAGAATTCACTAAGACAAGTCTCGGCCTGACCTGAGAGTGTTTTCATTCTTCACTCCACTCTTTGATGATCAGGTTGAACCTGTTGGGGCGGAACAACTTACCCAAGTATCAGTGTGAAGCTGCGTGTTAAACTATTTACCTTTATGACAAACTGCAGCTTCCTCACAAAGTACTTGTTGTGACCTGCAGGATTCAACTGGGGCTTCATACTACTTCCTCATTACACGACAGCTTAAACCGTCTGGCTCATCTATCTGCTGTGCAAAGGATTGTGGGTAAGAACAGCCAGTAAAGAACCCTGCTTGCGTACAGTAAAAAGTGACTGAATGTAGAACACAAACTGTAATTCCTTCAGCAACCCCCCAAGGAGGAAAAAACACCAGCACTGTGAAAACAAGCTTTCCTTGAGCATAATTTTCGTTGAATTGTTCTTTGGATTTTTTTCATTTTTTGTTTTGTATTATTGTTATAATTTGTATTTGTTTGTGACAACATATTATCCATCTTGTTAAATCCATTTATTTTTGTTTTAAGGATTTAAGATATGTGGCAAACACAGGTTTCTGCGGTTCTTCCCTCATATATCCCTCAATAATAATATTGTTCTCCCTTATGAGAACAATATTATTATTTAGTTTCCTTAAGTGACATCACATTGTGGACAGTCACAGGAGGACACGTTTAAAATGGAGGAGAGCTTCAGTGTGATGAAACAGCGTGATGTTTCCCTCTAGAGGCACAAGAGTGCTTCTCATCTGTGATCAGCATTTGATGAACAACTTTACAACCACGTTGTCAGTCTCTTCTTCTTCTTCTTCGTCTGAATATTTTCACACTAAAGTTACTAAAGCACCTTTTTGAAGAACGTTCTTTGCTTCTCTGGCAGGTTGAAATGTCTCATGAGTGTTTCTGACTCTTTGTGCAGTGAAGTCTACAGACGGACGCTGGTCTGAGGTCTGTTCTGTTCATTAAAAACACACTGATGAGACAGATGTGTCTCAGCAAAGTACTGTCCATAAGTCTCAGTGAAGGGACAAAGGACAGGACACACTGCATTGATTCACAAAGGTTTTATGTACAAAATATTGTTCCAGGTCTATTCAACATATGTCACATTAGAATAATGAGACCTACTTTACATCTATGTGATCAATCTCCATATTTCACAGTACATACAGGAAGAATTCACCCTTCTAGTACTTTAGTGTACAATAAATACATGCTGTGGTCCTAAGTACAAACTCCCGGTTAGTTGTGGACAGAGTTCAGTTGTCGGTGCAGCTGAGGCCGTTGTAGAGTCACTCGTACCGCAGACGAACGATGGTTCCGTCTCTAAACAACAGAACTTGACTACATGTAACGGAGTTAGAAATACACTGTCATTTTTTAATGTATTGTATCTTATTTTTGGTTATTATTCAACAATCTTGTTGAGTGTGTGTGTGAATTTTATTTTGATGAGTTAAATTTGCGGAAATAGCGATTCATCTCTTCTGCGCCTCCTGGGCTTCCGTAGTCCCGTTTTTCCTTCACAGAGGTTGAAGGTAAGTTGAGTGAAAAATGATGTCGCACTATTTCGCTATGTTCTCAGAAATATAACTGTTCACATCAGCAAACATTACCGCGGGTAACATAACCACAGTTTTCAGCTGTGGTTCGTCATTATTTCAGACGTTAAAAGTACACGTTTGGTAATGTTTCATTTCGCGCCGTTTGTATTCGCTACATCCGGTCGTCCTGACGTACACGTTCCGCTTTATAGACCCAGTGTCGATGGAGCTGATGTGCGGAGACCAGAAGGCAATGTCGGTGTGTTATTGTCTTCTTTAGGAGCAAATAAATGCTGAAAAGATCAGTATCCGAGTCGACTTCTTCCATGCCCGAAACACATCTGTTATACACAAGCAATACAATGAAACATGTAACCAAAAATATATACAGGTTAAATCAACTTAACATACCTGTAAAATATGGAGGACGACATAAAATCGATGTTAGCTAGCTAAAAAAACGGGACATTGTTACAGACAATAAAACGTATCACTAACTTAATAAAAACATGGCAACTTTAAACAAAGACAACGAACATCTAAAATAATAAAGCTAGACCATGAATGAAATGAGTACATTTTCCACGGACATAAAAAACCCGTTACCTCCTTTTAATCCTCCATCACACTGAGGATCACAATCCTTCCTCTTTACGGTCCGTTTGTGTACCACTTCATGGCAGTAGATGACGTAGTTCAGCCAATTTAGAAGGGTTTTAACAGCCATTCTAACTATGTTACATAATCAATAGTGTAATACCACTGTAGTTTAGAAAGTATATTCAATAGAATAACACTGCAGATGCACAGATTGTATGCACAGATTGTATTTATCAACCGAAATGCATGCATGTAATACTTGATACCACCACTGATATTGACCCAGAGACATTGGAAATCCGAGTTACATTGAACGCACCAGGAGAAGTCACATGCCCAGGTGCGTGGACACTGCCTTCCACACCTTTACAGACCTGTATAAATACCTGCAGGCCCCCATTGTTCTAGATTGGCTGGTGGAAGCAGGAGACTCTCACTATGGGGAGTCAATGAGCTGCTCGGTGGCCTGTTGATTGTAGAAAGCAGCGGCTCCTCAGCTGAGATCTTCTTTTTAGCACAACGCCTTTTCTTTTGTTAAATACTTTTGATTTTAACTTTTCAAACCAAATGTCTTCTGTCCGTCTGGAGTTTCTTCAGTTTTCAAACACGACACCCTCCAGATGATGGCGTCTTCTCACTCAGAGAGGGAAAGTTCTGGACAATGAGGTGTTCTTCAGAGCTCTGTGTCGGAGTACTTGAGTATTTATTCACTGTGACAGAGTAGCATCAGAACGAGGAACCAGTGGGTTTGAAACAGTTCTTCATATTCAATTAAAACAAGTGTCTATGTGGGAGCTGTGTTCATAAAATAATTTGTTTTCTGTCTTCTACAATATCAACATTTCACATTTAACATGTCATTTAACTTTTATTTACACTTTTAACCCATGGCTTTTTTTGTACATTTTTGGCTGGGAAGCACTTAGGGGTTAGTTGTCTTGCTCTGGGACATTTTGACATGGAGCAGCTGGGGCTCAAACCACCAACCTTGTGGTTGCTGGCGCAGCAGCTCTACCCCTCTGCCACCTTCAACCCTCGTTTGTATGAATTAAATCAAGTATTATATCATATTTAAAGTGCACATGTAATTCCTGAAATGTCAAATGTTCAA